CTTTTGGTCACAAGTGTAAACAAAAATGATCTGTGTGGCTGACGTTTAAGATTTGTTGTAAATGTGTCTGTTCTGTCTTATGGCTGTGATATTTTTATGAATATGGCTTCAGTTAAAGTAGCAGTACGGGTTCGACCCTTCAATCAAAGGTAGACTACAGCAAGTACTGTATAATAAACACTCACTAGGAAAGAAGTGTCTCAGCATTGTCCTGTTTTGAAGGTCAATTTCCGGGATGATGATGATGATAATCATAATTTAGGCAGATTGCAGTTTCATAGACTAAAATTAACATTTATAATGGTAGCAATATGCTCATAATAGTAAAAATGACATGTGATAAGTTACGCTGTTTGAACCTAGGATGACTAGTATCTAAAGTTACATCAGAAGCCAAATTATTTCTTAATTTTAAGCTTAAGGTGGTAATGCTTTCAGACCAAGCTTCACTTGGGGAGTCTTGTGTTGTTGAAGTATTTAAACAAGGTTCCCCTGAACCTGGGTCACCCATAAGTAATGAGATCCTTAGGGGAAGGTATTGTGATACTGGTGAAGGGCTCTTGATCCAGGGAATTAGAATTAATCCCTTCCTTGGATCAAACCTGATAGCTCTTATTCCCCAGGTGTTAGCACTTAAGTCTTGACTGTAATAATAATTTCCCAGTGTGACAAGGATAGGGTGATTCTCTGGCACAATATGTTGATGTAGGTTAAAAACTTTCTTTGGCTTATATGGCAAGGATATTTCCTCATTCATAAAAACTGTATTACTGTATAATCCCAATGAATGGATGATGTCTCATAAATGAAATATATAATAAAAGTTTAATGGGACTTTGTCAGCCTGACATGCTTCCAGTTATACTGGTTCACACCGCCAGTTTATAAGTGGAGAGCACACCACTTGTCATTAATATTCACAGGAAGTAGACATTGACATAAACAAGAGGTAATGTGGTAATTCAAAGACACATTAAGGTTAGCCTAAGTTTAATACATTAGGTCAAATCAGCTCAGCTTAACCTAAGTTTAGGTATGCAGTACCACTGCTTGAATTGTCACGTTGTACTGACTGACCAACATCTGTTGAAAGACTCATTACCTGGAGTTTACCTGGAGAGAGTTCCGGGGGTCAACGCCCCCGCGGCCCGGTCTGTGACCAGGCCTCCTGGTGGATCAGAGCCTGATCAACCAGGCTGATGCTGCTGACTGCACGCAAACATACGAGCCACAGCCCGGCTGGTCAGGAACCGACTTTAGGTGCTTGTCCAGTGCCAGCTTGAAGACTGCCAGGGGTCTGTTGGTAATCCCCCTTATGTATGCTGGGAGGCAGTTGAACAGTCTCGGGCCCCTGACACTTATTGTATGGTCTCTTAACGTGCTAGTGACACCCCTGCTTTTCATTGGGGGGATGTTGCATCGTCTGCCAAGTCTTTTGCTTTCGTAGTGAGTGATTTTCGTGTGCAAGTTCGGTACTAGTCCCTCTAGGATTTTCCAGGTGTATATAATCGTGTATCTCTCCCGCCTGCATTCCAGGGAATACAGGTTCAGGAACCTCAAGCGCTCCCAGTAATTGAGGTGTTTTATCTCCGTTATGCGCGCCGTGAAGGTTCTCTGTACATTTTCTAGGTCAGCAATTTCACCTGCCTTGAAAGGTGCTGTTAGTGTGCAGCAATATTCCAGCCTAGATAGAACAAGTGAAGTGAAGAGTGTCATCATGGGCTTGGCCTCCCTAGTTTTGAAGGTTCTCATTATCCATCCTGTCATTTTTCTAGCAGATGCGATTGATACAATGTTATGGTCCTTGAAGGTGAGATCCTCCGACATGATCACTCCCAGGTCTTTGACGTTGGTGTTTCGCTCTATTTTGTGGCCAGAATTTGTTTTGTACTCTAATGAAGATTTAATTTCCTCGTGTTTACCATATCTGAGTAATTGAAATTTCTCATCGTTGAACTTCATGTTGTTTTCTGCAGCCCACTGAAAGATTCGGTTGATGTCCGCCTGGAGCCTTGCAGTGTCTGCAATGGAAGACACTGTCATGCAGATTCGGGTGTCATCTGCAAAGGAAGACACGGTGCTGTGGCTGACATCCTTGTCTATGTCGGATATGAGGATGAGGAACAAGATGGGAGCGAGTACTGTGCCTTGTGGAACAGAGCTTTTCACTGTAGCTGCCTCGGACTTTACTCTGTTGACGACTACTCTCTGTGTTCTGTTAGTGAGGAAATTATAGATCCATCGACCGACTTTTCCTGTTATTCCTTTAGCACTCATTTTGTGCGCTATTACGCCATGGTCACACTTGCCGAAGGCTTTTGCAAAGTCTGTATATATTACATCTGCATTCTTTTTATCTTCTAGTGCATTTAGGACCTTGTCGTAGTGATCCAATAGTTGAGACAGACAGGAGCGACCTGTTCTAAACCCATGTTGCCCTGGGTTGTGTAATTGATGGGTATCTAGATGGGTGGCGATCTTGCTTCTTAGGACCCTTTCAAAGATTTTTATGATATGGGATGTTAGTGCTATCGGCTTGTAGTTCTTTGATATTGCTTTACTGCCCCCTTTGTGGAGTGGGGCTATGTCTGTTGGTTTTAGTAATTGTGGGATGACCCCCGTGTCCATGCTCCCTCTCCATAGGATGGTAAAAGCACGTGCAGTTCTTGATGAACATGGAGTTCCATGAGTCTGGCCCTGGGGCAGAGTGCATGGGCATGTCATTTATCGCCTGTTCGAAGTCATTTGGCATCAGGATAACATCAGATAGGCTTGTGTTAACCAAATTCTGTGGCTCTCTCATAAAAAATTAATTTAGATCTTCGACTCAGTCTGGTTAGTGACTTGCTAAAAACTGAGTCATATTGGGACTTGAGTAGCTCACTCATTTCCTTGCTGTCATCTGTGTAGGTCCCATCTTGTTTAAGTAGGGGCCCAATACTGGATGTTGTTCTCAAATTTGATTTGGCATAAGAAAAGAAATACTTTGGGTTTCTTTCGATTTCATTTATGGCTTTTAGTTCTTCCCGCGATTCCTGACTCCTATAAGATTCCTTTAGCTTAAGTTCGATGTTTGCTATTTCTCTAACCATTGTCTTCCTATGCATTTCAGATACATTGGCCTCTTTTATCCACTCTGTTATTATTTTCCATCGCCTGTAAAGGGAGCGCCTGTCTCTTTCTATTTTACATCTCCTCCTTTTTCTTAAAGGAATAAGCCTTGAGCATACATCGAGTGCCGAGTTAATCTGTTCTAGGCATAAGTTGGGGGTCTTTGTCGCTTAGTCTGTCTTCCCAGCTTATATCATTTAGGACTTGGTTTACTTGGTCCCACTTTATGTTCTTGTTATTGAAGTTGAATTTGTTGAAGGCTCCCTCGTGACTGATCTCATTTTGTCGGTCTGGGGCTCCGCGCATACATGGCTGAACCTCGATTATGTTGTGATCTGAGTATATTGTTTTTGATATGGTGACATTTCATATCAGATCATCATTGTTAGTGAAGATGAGGTCTAGTGTATTCTCCAGTCTAGTAGGCCCTATTATCAATCAATCAATCAGTCAATCAAGCTTATTCTCTATAAGGATTACAATGCTGGGTTTACAGATTTTGGTTATTGTGTGGTTTACATGTAATAAAATACTAATTACAGAAGGGGCCATTAGGACACCTAGCATGGCTAGGCATTTCGGGCAAACTTAGATTAATTCTTAACCCTAAATTATTACAAATTATAGAGTAAGTTGACTAAATACTAAGTGACTGAATACTATTTTGTGATTTTAGCAATGTGAATGCTTTTGTTTTGACACAATACATAGTTTCTATATTGGAGTATCACAGGCAAACTTATGACTAGTTAGGAATCATTATTTTAAGAATAAGATTCGTATTTCTGTGCATATAGTCAAATGGGTAAGTGAGTGAGTGTAAGTGTGAACCACTAGGTGGTTTTTATGTAGTTGACGGGGTGTATCAGGGAGATAAGATTTTTCTAATGGTAGTTTTGAAGGTGATGAATGTGTTGACAGTTCTAGAGTTTTCAGGTAGGGTATTCCAGATTTTAGGGCCTTTGACATACATTGAATTTTTGTGAAGGTTTAGTCGGACACGGGGAATGTAGTAGAGATGTTTGTGTCTGGTGTTATGCCTGTGGGTCCTGTCGCAACTATCAAGAAAGCGTTTTAGTTCAAGGTTAATATTGGAATTTAAGGTCCTGTAGATGTAGATTGCACAGTAGTAAGTGTGGATGTTCTGAACAGGGAGTAAGTTTAGATCTACGAAGAGTGGGGGGGGGGTGTTGCTGGGGATGGGATTTAGTGATTATTCTTACTGCGGCTTTTTGTTGGGTTATTATTGGCTGTAGGTGTGTTGCTGCAGTTGATCCCCAAGCACAAATAGCATAGGTGAGGTATGGATAAATGAGTGAATAGTATAGTGTGAGAAGGGCTTTTTGCGGCACGTAGTATCGTATCTCGGAGAGGATCCCAACTGTTTTGGATACTTTTTTTGTTGTGTGTTGGATATGGGTGCTGAAATTCAGGTTGTTGTCGAGGTATAGGCCTAGGAATTTGCCCTCATTATGTCTGGCAATTTGTTGGTTTAAGTTGAATTTTGTGCAGAGATTTAACCCTTTCAGGGTCCAAGGCCAAAATCTGAAGTGGTGCCCGTGTCCAAGAATTTAAAAAAAAAAAAAAAAATTATTTTTTTCTTATGAAATGGTAGAGAATCTTTTTGTGAATGTAATAAAACAAAAAGTACGAAATTTGATGGGAAATTGACGAAATTATGCTCTCGTGAATTTTGATGTGTCAGCGATATTTACGAATCGGCGATTTTGCCGACTTTGACTCCCATTTTAGGCCAATTGCATTATTCCAGTCGACCAAATTCTTAGCTATTTCACTAGGATTACATCTATTCTATCGATTGAGCACAAGAAATCGCCAAGTCAACTGTTTCAACTACAAAATAAAGTGACCAGAAATTGGTAATTTGGCCAATTTAACACAAAGTTCAAAATATTCCAATTTCAAAATAGGATCCAGAATAAACAATGTAGGTATTCCTGGCACTAAACTAACATTTCCTCTGTTCATTAGTTACGTTTTGAGGCTTTACAAATAAATTCCATTTTGATTTTTTATTCACATAATGAATTTTTATTCACACCAAAAAATAGAAGATTTACTGTTATGCAATATTGTAATAATTGTATAAATATCATCACCACATTTATGAATGTATATTAGACCCACCTGCTGGCGTGTATTAGACGTGTGAGGTCGTTTGTTTACTCTTGAACATCGGCAAAAATTTAACATTTCCGCCACTTGGAGCTCAGTTTCAAGCCATTTCCAGTGCTAAAACCAATCAAAATTATCCCTATTTCTGTAATATGTCTTCCATTCTATCAAATGAGACCAAGAAATCACAAATACAACTATAAAAAACATACAAAAAAACACTGCAAAGTCGCTGTTTTAATCGAAAATCACGGTCTCAGTTTTTTTCCTCATTATACACAGTGTGCTGCAGGATTTGTTTTATGTGGTGCACACATACCACATAGATGTATTCTCTCATATCTAGGCCCAAATTTACCACTCACAGTTTATCAGAGTGAGCTGAGCTCATGACGTAGATCTACGGTTTGGACCCTGAACGTAAAGCCGTAGATCTACGGGACGGACCCTGAAAGGGTTAAAAGCTCGTGTGTGTGTGAGTTCTTGTCAGAGCTGCCTCCTGGTGTTATCACTACAACAACATTATTTGCTATATTTTTTCAATTTAGGTGCCTAAAGTTGAAATCCCCCAGGGGCAAGATGTTGGGGGCAGGAGCAGTTGCATTTTTTATTTACACCTTTTATCCTGAATTTTTACATTCACCATGGGCAAGGCCACTTCAGCTATGCCATCCTCGTTAACATTAGCTGCAATTTTTACATACCCTTACAAAAAAGGCAATCCCTTCTTTGCTTGGCTTGCCCATTATAAACTAGGCCACTCCCATTAAGGTACTTATTCCTCTTAATTTGATGTGGAGAACCTTTATTTTTGGTTCCTGCCACTTGATATGTGCCTATGTAACCCTTTTTTGGGATGAATTATAATGATTATTAACATTAGGAGATTTTTTCCATGTGTAAAACCTGATGGATACATCAGAATCATCATGTGCCACATTCTTAGAATTATTTGGTCGGCTTGTCTGTAGTAATTGAACAATTAATTTTTGTGAACCTAATCTTATTTCCTCCAGAGAAAAATAACCTTTGTAGTATTTTTGAGACAACCACTCTGTAGTCTTGCAGCTCAATTTATTCTGCAAGACAGCACAACTAAGCAACAATTTATTGTACTTATCAATGTTAGTTGTACCTCAGAGCCAGGTGGGATTTTCGAGACACTAGGCTGCACCATGTCTTTCCTCTGAGACCCACTCTTTCCCACCCACAAACAAAGTTGGGCCTATCAAATTACAGCATAAAATTGATACCAATAATGTTTGTAAATTACAAGATATTGAGTAGACTGTATGATGGTTTGTAACTTGAAAAGAAAGGGGGAAGGATCTGTTGAGTATACAATGTTTTACAAAAAATATATACATATTATTTACTGAGTACTCACCATTTAATTACTGGATCATAATTATTATTTTTTGGAAACACACTTTCACACTACCACTACAGCTAGAATTTACAATGGCCAGTGCAAAGCTACTGTACATTATGGGTAACCATCACTTAGCTAAGGTGTGCTCCTGAGAGAATTGGTGTTCTCATTTTTCCGTCCTTGTTGCCAAATTGTAAGGGTTTTCCACACTATCCCAATTCTTCAGTGGGAATGTGTCAATAGTTTCTGAATTATGGATTGAGTCTGATATACACTTATTGACCTTCGAGAATTCTTGATAACATTGCACAGTTCAGACCAGTGTTCACACATCAAATTCATTATGGTGTCTCAGCGGCGTCACTCCCCTGGCTGCTCTGCATCCCCCTTCACTTAAAATTTCTCGAAGGGTCCAAATAGCATTACATTTTAATACTCATTTATTATATTCATATGTATGTTCTACATTTAGGAAAATTATGTTAAAATTTTCCACTGATACCTCCTTTAATTCCCTGACATTAGGGTGGTCCAAAGCCACTCTGATACTCCCACCTTTAATGCAAATTCGTTAAGATTTTTTAACAGACTCCAGTTTTTACATCAACTGCAACTTCCCCATACCTTCCCTTTCTTTATGCTGATGCCCTTTCTTCTCCTCCACCTTTCCCTCCTCTGTGCCATTTCTTTCATCTTTTTCATGTTGTGCTGCATGACCTTATAGATTTACTGCAGCATTTTCCATAGAATATATTATTAAATAATCAGTAGCTTCTGCTTGATATAAGTGGATCACTAATTTGACTTACCTGGCTCATTTTCACAAATTTGGTTTTAACTTGTATACTAATAGTTAATTGATTAGTTATGTAGCATATGTACCACAGTGGGGGTTACAGTAGGACATACCATACCAGGGCATTATGGGGTTGTTAGGAGAAAAGGGACAGTGAATGCATAAATGAAATTTAAGATGAAGAAAGACTTTGGATTATTAATACAAGAGGAATATTAACCAATAATACCTGAAACAAGTAAAGCAGTCTGGCTTACTTCAGTTGGGGGTCCTTCAACCAACAGATTTAAGACACCTAGGTACATCTTTTAGACAGCAGCTATAAGATTTACTTATATAACACTGGGGATTCTGTGCATATAGCTGAGAGTTAAAGGAAAATTGGGGTGTTAGATGGTATGAGTGTAAAATACTGTGTACAATGGTACCTTGGGATAGGAACTTAATTCGTTCCAGAAGGCTGTTCGAGTGCTGATACCGAACAAATTTGCTCCTATAAGGAAAAATGTAAATTAGATTAATCCGTTTCAGACCCTCAAAAATACACTTACAAAAGCACTTACATAATTGTTCGCATTTTGATTTTGAACTGTTCATATCCCAAGGTACCACTGTATATTGAAGATTTGGCTAATGCAAAGTTAGAAGGAAATTTTTATGAGATGTAATCTTCAAGAGGGTTGAGTTGTTAGGGCATTCTGCCAAGATATGTGAGCAGTAATTGTTACACCATAGGCCTTATATAAGAGTCAGTCTTTCCTCTATCCACAAAGCAAGTATATACTGTATGGTCATTTTCAATTTTTAATGTTATTCTACTTCTCTTGCCAATCAGCAGGTTGATTAAAAGTTTAAATGTAATAACTGTGTAGGAATTCATGGTTTAATTGGACATCTTTAAAGGGCTTTTAGCAGCTGCTAATATTTGTTCATTTATATTTTGAATAACTGAAACATGTGATATACCTGTGATCATTTTGAATTTCTTTATCCCTGTAGCATTGTCTTAAGCCATGCTTTTCTGCTGATTGTACAACCAGGTCAAAGGTACTGTAACTATTATAATTTAATAGGTAGGGGTCTGTGTGTTTTTCACTGATAATTTGTTACTTCCAGAAATCTTGTGATGTCATGCATGTTGTTCTCCTTCCTATTGTATCTTTATAATGTATTTTGTTTTCAAATAAAGTTCACATATATAACATATGGGGATTGGTAGGAGAAAAAAAAATACACAATTAGAAGAAACCTTCTGAATTTTCCTGTGGTTCGAGGTCAGTTTTATTTTATTTTGTAGGGGCAGTAGACAAAAAGCCATGAATATAATTTTAATAAAGCTTTTATATTTGCAGGGAAATTGACTTGAACTCTTCATGTATTGTAGAAGTTGAAGACAAGAAAACAAGACTTATTAATCATAAGGTATGTATTAAAGTACTGTAATCATTTACATAATAAGTTTTTGTTGAAAGACCATTATGGGTTTAGGGCTCTTTATGAATATATAATATTGATATCATATATATACTGGGTGTACAGTATAAATTTATAATATTTTAAATATTATATTAGATTAAATGTTATATATTATGAACTCTCTCATAATAAATGACTTCAGATGAATAAGATTATTATTATACTGTAGATTATCATAAGTCTGTGCTGTAACTGCTTTGTTTATACATACCTGGAGTATACCTGGAGAGGGTTTTGGGGGTCAACGCCCCTGCAGCCCGGTCTGTGACCAGGCCTCATGGTCGATCAGGGTCTGATCAACCAGACTGTTGCTGTTGGCCGCATGCAACCCAACGTACGAACCACAGCCGGCTGGTCAGGTACTGACTTTACATGCCTGTCCAGTGCCTTCTTGAAGACAGCCAGGGGTCTATTGACAATCCCCCTTACGTATGCTGGAAGGCAATTGAACAGTGTTGGGCCCCTGACACTTATTGTGTTGTCTCTTATCGTGCTAGTGGCATCCCGCTTTTCATTGCGGGGATGTTGCATCGTCTGCCGAGTCTTTTGCTTTCATTGGGAGTGATTTTCATGTGCAAGTTTGATACTAATCCCTCTAGGATTTTCCAAGTGAATATAATCGTGTATCTCTCCCACCTGCTTTCTAGGGAGTACAGGTTGATTAACTTCAAGTGTTCCCAGTAATTTAGGTGTTCTATCACAGTTGTGTGTACTGTGAAGGTTCTCTGTACATTTTCTAGGTCAGCAATTTCACCTGCTCTGAAAAGTGCTGTTAGTGTGCACATTAGTGAGCGGGTTATTCAGTTTGTTACTTTCTCTCCAAGTTTTCCCATATAATAGGTATTTCAAAAATAAAAAGGCACAGTACCATGTCTGGTACAATTCACAAATAACCTGTACATAGAAGAATGACACTCATATTTACATTTTGGTCTAACTTGGACCATTAACTACCCATACTAGTTAACGTCGTCAAAGGTTTCCTACTGTGTGCGAGTTATTTGTGAATAACAGGTAATTCAAGTGTATTGTAGGTATGAGATTAAATATATTTTTCAGTAGAGTTGGGTGATATGTTCAACGGTTTCCATTAATGCTTGGTTGCCCTAAACTTACATATGTGTCGAAGATCAAGCAGTGATATACAAAAATTTCTATAAAGTGTTTACAAATGTTTAATGATTGCTATAGCAAATACAATTATAAATTGTCTGTATGATTAATTAACAACACATGTTGCAGATCAAGCTTTTAGCTTTGTTAAATTTTTCATCAAGTTCTATTGGTAAACTTCTAGAAAATGAAACAGTCTAAATTGAAGCTTGTCTTGCATCTTGTCTTTATTATTGTCAACAGTCTGCCATTTGCATCCATATGATTAATTAATATAACCAGCAGAGTTGCTGGTGTTGCTATCATTTAACAACTCGCTTAATCATAAAGTGCAGTAAATAAGTTACAGTAGTCTATTAAAACTATTACACATGTTTACGGTTGTCTTGTATAGTAATAAATTACCTTGGCTGACCAGAGGAATTACTGTGAAACGAAGTGACTTTTGGATGTGATTATCTTGTAAAATGAAAAGCTTACACTATCTCTAAAAAGCTGGTGAGTCCTCCAAACATGCTTATGGAGTTGAGAGGTACAGTGCATGCACTTTGAAGGAGGGGTGCTGATGTTGCAGTTTGGAGAGTCGTTTAAATAATGGTATACCTGCAAACTTTTGGCAAAACAGCTGTTGAATGAATAATAGTAAATGTATTAACTTTCTTGGGTCATGCTACCTTAGTGGGATATATAGTTTATGCCAAAAAATAGATGACATTTAATATTGCATATGGAAAGCCCCTAGTTATGCAAAACATATTGGGCAAGCTTAAATGTTACTTAAGGCTAAAAGGACAAAAATCATTATGCATATGTATATAAGGACATTAAAGCTATACATTGGACCCTCAGTTAATGATATTAATCCATTTCAGAGAGCTTGTCCTTAACCGATTTTTATTGTTATCTAAATTAATTTTCCCCTTAAGAAATAATGGAAATCCAGTTCCATTTCAGACATCCAAAAGTATTAAACAAAATAAATTTTTTACATGAAATAAACATTTCCCTACGCAGAAAAACAATGATACATGATGAATAAAACAATAATAACATCACACTTATCTTTATTGAAGACATGGTGATGTATGGAAGACGGGAGGAGGGGAGAGGATGGAGGAGTTTACAATTGTTTGGAAGGGGAATCCCACTCCATAAAGACTTCAGGTACCAAGTCCTTATCCTGGGTTACTTCCCTCCTTTGTTTTTTAATGCCACTAGGACCAGCATGAGAGCCACTGGAATTGTGTTGGGAGACACAAGACAGTCCTTCAATATGACACTAATATCAGCTCTATGGCTTATTTATCTATCACAATTCATCTAATATGACATAATAAACAATACTAATAACATAGAAACATGACATATACTCTAGAATGAATAAAATACATCATTTAAGTATGTCATGAGTGTTGCTGTGTTGTTGTTGTTGGGTATACATACAAGGGCCACTGAGAGCATAAGCCGTACATAGTGGTGGTGGAGGCGGCAGCAGAGGCAGTAGAGACGGCGGTGTTGTCAGTCGCCCTACATAACTCCAACAACATTGGAGGAGTTAGGTTCGTGCTGTCCTTTTTCTATCGATTAATCGCTTAACTTACTTGCTACAGTTAATCCTACACTTTATCGCTGGCTGCCGCTATAGCCTTTATAGACTCCTGCTGCTTTAATATCGTACATATTGCAGAATCTCTGAAAAAGGCACATTCTCCCCTCTCTCTCAGGGCTGGCTGGCTCTAGCTTTCTTTGGGCCCATGGTGGCTTATTTAGCAGTTACAAGCACTAAAAAAATGGAATTATACAAATGGCCCGGTGGCCTGGTGGCTAAAGCTCCCGCTTCACACACGGAGGGCCCGGGTTCGATTCCCGGTGGGAGGAAACATTTCGACACGTTTCCTTACACCTGTTGTCCTGTTCACCTAGCAGCAAATAGGTACCTGGGTGTTAGTCGACTGGTGTGGGTCGCATCCTGGGGGACAAGATTAAGGACCCCAATGGAAATAAGTTAGACAGTCCTCGATGACGCACTGACTTTCTTGGGTTATCCTGGGTGGCTAACCCTCCGGGGTTAAAAATCCGAACGAAATCTTATCTTATCTTATCTTATGTATCTCATATACAGTGGAACTTCAAAAATCGAACGTATCACATATCGAACATTTCGAAGATAGGACCATTTTTTCGGACAAACTGTGTCCTTATTATCGAATGCGCCCCTATTTTCGGACCGCCGGGTACGGGACCTGTCTGCTGCCTGCTCTGTCTGCGTCCCCGCGCAGGCGCCGTGAGCAGTCTAGCTTTGTTTATGCTTGAGTGAACGCTAACCTGCGCTCTCATTCACTCATTTTACGATTATTTCATTGTGTTTAGTGCTTGTGGGACTGTGAAATAAGCTGCCATGGGCCCAAAGAAACTTGCTAGTGGTACCCCTGTGGTAAAGAAAGTGAGAAACACCATAGATGTGAAGAAGGAAATAATACAGAAGTATGAGAGTGGTGTGAGACTTGTTGAGCTTGCCAGGATGTATGGGAAAAACAAGTCAACCATCGGTTCTATCCTGTCAAAGAAAGAACAAATCAAGGAAGCTGATGTTGGGAAAGGTGTTAATATAGGGAGTGGATAAGGTGCCTTCTTCAAAGATTAAGGAGATTTGTGCCAAGTGGAATGATGTCCAAATGTTTGTGCAGAAGTACCACCCTGATCAAGCTGAAACAAGCCATCTTTGCAACAAGTTCGATGACAGAACCATGTCCCGTTTTAGGGAAATGTTAAAGAGGCGCCAGAAACAGAGGACTGTGGACAGTTATTTTGTGAGAGAAGGGTCCAGTGACTCTCAAGCTGGTCCTAGTGGCATTAAAAGACAGAAAAGGGAAGTAACCCCAGAGAGGGCTTTACCTGAAGTCCTCATGGAGGGGGATTCTCCTTCCAAACACTAACCCCAACTTCCTCTCTCCTCCTCCCTATCTTCCAGATGCCATCACCAATCTTCAATAAAGGTAAGTAAAAATGTTATTTTATATGTATTACTATATATAATTAAAAACTATAGTATTTGTTGTATGTAAAACTGTAATCGATCTCTAAAAAATGTATTTTTTGTGTGAATATTTTTGGGTTTCTGGAACGGATTAATTGTTATTTTTATTATTATCACACTGGCCGATTCCCACCAAGGCAGGGTGGCCCGAAAAAGAAAAACTTTCACCATCATTCACTCCATCACTGTCTTGCCAGAAGGGTGCTTTACACTACAGTTTTTAAACTGCAATGTAAATTGTAATTGTATTTCCATTATTGTAATTGTAATTGTATTTCCATTATTTCTTATGGGAAATATTGCTTCGAATTTCAGACTTTTCGAATTTGGAACTAGCTCCTGGAACGGATTAAGTTCGATTTTTGAGGTTCCACTGTACGTGTGGAATCATCCGCAGTGGCTTGTAAACAATGGCACACTAGCCACACTGGAGTGGCCGGACGGCTCAGGCCGAGCGGACACGTTCTGGATGAATGTCCTTAACTGAGTTTTTTATCGTTAGCCGAGCCAATATTTTGACGCAAAAACGTAATTGGTATCTGATCTTATCACTATCCAATGGCATCATTAACCCTTTGAGGGTCCGTCCCGTAGATCTACGGCTTTACGTTCAGGGTCCAAACCGTAGATCTACGTCATGAGCTCAGCTCACTCTGATAAACTGTGAGTGGTACATTTGGGCCTAGATATGAGAGAATACATCTATGTGGTATGTGTGCACCACATAAAACAGATCCTGCAGCATGCTGTGTATAATGAGAGAAAGAAACTGAAATCATGATTTTTCGATTAAAAC